GTGAAAGGCGTGCAACAAAGGGATATAATGCGTAATAATTGAGAATTTCTCTATTGTGTGTCCGTTTATGTGCGTGTGTATATGTATGTGTGTGTGTGTGTCCGTTGTTTATGTGTATATGTGTGTATGTATGTGTGCGTGCGTATGCGTGTGTATGTATGTGTGCGTGCGTATGTGTGTGTATGTGTGTGGAAAGTAATCAGTGTGATTTTATCAACAGTGAAAAGAACTGCCTTTCAGAGCATATTTCGGTTTTCGTAGCAGACATCCGTTGATGCAGTGCACACAGATATCCACAAAACAGACCGATCAGGAATGGCTTCGAGAACTGATCATCCGAGTAAGTACGCTTGTTTTTTTACACCTTTTTTCTTTTCTTAAAACTTGCATATAATATGCTGTGAAGTAGTTTTCTGCGTTTTTGCCGAAACAATCGCGCACTGCACAAAACCACTGGTTACTTTCGTAGCTCCCGCTTGATTTGCATTTGCTACCAGTAGTTTGGACTAACCCAACCCTCGCTAAATGAAATGCGGTCGTTTAATTTTTTGGCCTGCAGAGAGCTCTTTCCTCTGTGCTTTGGTCTTCTCATCGGTTGTTCCTATGCTATAACAGCAATAAATAATACCCTGTCCGGTTGATTTCATGAAAAATTTTTAAATAAGCAGTCATCTTTCATCCACTTGAAATATCAGACTGTTTCAACTCTTACTTGAAAGGTCTTTTTCAGCAAATCGAAGATTTCCTGGATCTCTCGCCTGATGAGAAAGAATTCATGTCATTGTGGAGTATCTTTTTACTCAGTCTGAATCATAAGCCACTGGGCCGATGCCATACGTACCGCACATGTGTAAGTTTGTTTTTTTTTTTCTTGCTTTGGCTGTATGAATGTACGTTTTTTTTTTTTTCACTAAATTTTGACTAGAATACAGATGTTTGAAATTTCAGCTTTGATTTTATAGTTTTTCGTTCATTTTCCTTTTTTTTTCCAGAGACTTTTTTTGAAAAAGCATCGGCGTATTCTTCGGCAGCGGCGTTTTCAAAATGCCTGGACACTGCATCTAAATGTGCTGTATGAAGCTGATGCTTTGGATGGGGACGAAGTCTACGATTTGTTGGTACGCCTAAGGGAAGAAAAATATGATCCGTGCTCTGACAATCGTCATGTTGTTCATGTGTAAGTGCTTCTTCATTTCTGGATTCCAGACTGATTTGTATCATGGCTTGAGTACTTTTTTGCGTGTGCTCTTTTTGTTATGAAGGCTTGAAAACCAACATGGCCATCCGAACAGGTGGTACGTGGATTTGCTCTTATGGATGTTGCTTTGATACAGCCATTCACTGGCGCAGTAGTGTCGCACCTTCCGCACTTAAGCTTAATGTCTTGGTTTGATGTACATCGCCTTTCGATGTATGTTCGCCACTTCCTCGGAGGCGACTCGGCTGGTCGCTGATTTTCTTGAGGGTGCTATTCACTGTCTAACGGTTGTCGGCAAGGCGAGCAACATGTCGTACCCATCAGATTTGAGGAATTCGCACTTGCATTTTCATTCTTCACTGCTGCAAAATTAGGGCGATTTCTAACAATTGCCTATATTCTTGCTATGATCCTGCAACTTTCTTTCGCATTTGCCCTGGATCTGCTTCCTCTAAATCGCGTCTGGCTTCTCGTTACGGCTGCGCTCTTTGGAGTCCTGTGTTATTTTCCGTCTGATATGTTTGTCGAGGAGAAAACATTGCATGTTTAGAATTTTATTCCGTTTTGTATTTCCTTACTAGCAGTGATCATGCCGGCCCGTGAATTCCACTGGCCGGGACTAGACTCCATTGACCATCGTTTTATGCTTTAAAGAAACTTCCAAACGGAAGT